CAGTGTACCTGTAAGGTATATCATCACAGAGAGTACCTGTAAGACATATATCATCACTCAGTGTACCTGTAAGGTATATCATCACAGAAAGTACCTGTAAGACATATATCATCACACAGAGTACCTGTAAGGTATATCATCACAGAGAGTACCTCTAAGACATATTTCATCACAGAGAGTACCTGTAAGACATATATCATCACACAGACATATATCATCACACAGAGTACCTGTAAGACATATATCATCACACAGAGTACCTGTAAGGTATATCATCACAGAGAGTACCTGTAAGACATATATCATCACAGAGAGTACCTGTAAGACATATATCATCACACAGAGTACCTGTATGGTATATCATCACAGAGAGTACCTGTAAGACATATATCATCACACAGAGTACCTGTAAGGTATATCATCACAGAGAGTACCTGTAAGACATATATCATCACAGAGAGTACCTGTAAGACATATATCATCACACAAAGTACCTGTATGGTATATCATCACAGAGAGTACCTGTAAGACATATATCATCACACAGAGTACCTGTAAGGTATATCATCACAGAGAGTACCTGTAAGGTATATCATCACAGAGAGTACATGTAAGGTATATCATCACACAGAGTACCTGTAAGACATATATCATCACAGAGAGTACCTGTAAGACATATATCATTCCAGAGAGTACCTGTAAGGTATATCATCACAGAGAGTACCTGTAAGTCATATATCATCACAGAGAGTACCTGTAAGACATATATCATCACACAGTGTACCTGTAAGGTATATCATCACAGAGAGTACCTGTAAGACATATATCATCACTCAGTGTACCTGTAAGGTATATCATCACAGAAAGTACCTGTAAGAGATATATCATCACACAGAGTACCTGTAAGGTATATCATCACAGAGAGTACCTGTAAGAGATATATCATCACACAGAGTACCCGTAAGACATATATCATCACAGAGAGTACCTGTAAGACATATATCATCACACAGAGTACCTGTAAGACATATATCATCACAGAGAGTACATGTAAGGTATATCATCACAGAGAGTACCTGTAAGACATATATCATCACACAGTGTACCTGTAAGGTATATCATCACAGAGAGTACCTGTAAGACATATATCATCACTCAGTGTACCTGTAAGGTATATCATCACAGAAAGTACCTGTAAGACATATATCATCACACAGAGTACCTGTAAGGTATATCATCACAGAGAGTACCTCTAAGACATATATCATCACAGAGAGTACCTGTAAGACATATATCATCACACAGACATATATCATCACACAGAGTACCTGTAAGACATATATCATCACAGAGAGTACCTGTAAGGTATATCATCACAGAGAGTACCTGTAAGACATATATCATCACAGAGAGTACCTGTAAGACATATATCATCACACAGAGTACCTGTATGGTATATCATCACAGAGAGTACCTGTAAGACATATATCATCACACAGAGTACCTGTAAGGTATATCATCACACAGAGTACCTGTAAGACATATATCATCACACAGAGTACCTGTAAGGTATATCATCACAGAGAGTACCTGTAAGACATATATCATCACAGAGAGTACCTGTAAGACATATATCATCACAGAGAGTACCTGTAAGACATATATCATCACAGAGAGTACCTGTAAGACATATATCATCACACAGAGTACCTGTAAGACATATATCATCACACAGAGTACCTGTAAGGTATATCATCACAGAGAGTACCTGTAAGACATATATCATCACAGAGAGTACCTGTAAGACATATATCATCACAGAGAGTACCTGTAAGGTATATCATCACAGAGAGTACCTGTAAGACATATATCATCACAGAGAGTACCTGTTAGACATATATCATCACAGAGAGTACCTGTAAGACATATATCATCACAGAGAGTACCTGTAAGACATATATCATCACACAGAGTACCTGTAAGGTATATCATCACAGAGAGTACCTGTAAGACATATATCATCACAGAGAGTACCTGTTAGACATATATCATCACAGAGAGTACCTGTTAGACATATATCATCACAGAGAGTACCTGTAAGACATATATCATCACACAGAGTACCTGTAAGGTATATCATCACAGAGAGTACCTGTAAGACATATATCATCACACAGAGTACCTGTAAGACATATATCATCACACAGAGTACCTGTAAGACATATATCATCACACAGAGTACCTGTAAGACATATATCATCACAGAGAGTACCTGTAAGGTATATCATCACAGAGAGTACCTGTAAGACATATATCATCACACAGTGTACCTGTAAGGTATATCATCACAGAGAGTACCTGTAAGACATATATCATCACACAGTGTACCTGTAAGGTATATCATCACAGAGAGTACCTGTAAGACATATATCATAACACAGAGTACCTGTAAGGTATATCATCACAGAAAGTACCTGTAAGACATATATCATCACACAGAGTACCTGTAAGACATATATCATCACAGAGAGTACCTGTAAGGTATATCATCACAGAGAGTACCTGTAAGACATATATCATAACACAGAGTACCTGTAAGGTATATCATCACAGAAAGTACCTGTAAGACATATATCATCACACAGAGTACCTGTAAGGTATATCATCACAGATAGTACCTGTAAGAGATATATCATCACAGAGTGTACCTGTAAGACATATATCATCACAGAGAGGCCATACAGCCACGGTACACAAGACTACTCTTCCCTTACGTGTGATTTCTTTATTCCCAGTCGTGTTGTATCAGGGAAATCCTACAAATGTGATCCATATTTTAACTATAAAATAAGTCTATCATACAGACCCCGAAACACATATATCCAATACAGCCCATGCAAGTCTATGATAGGTGGCAAGTCTAGAATACTGCAGTTTCTGGTAATGAAAGTGTCTGGGTTCCTTTTTATTATATTTTATTAAAATAATTTAACAAGTATCTTCTTGGTAAAATAAATTCATTTCAGAGACTAGATGTTACATTCCCCCGTGTCCTTCCTACAATTGCGTGTTAACGACTTCGCCTCATCCTGATATTTGTGCACCCTCCTGCCCTTTGTCAGTCTATAAAGGAGACCCTGATTAAAAAAACATATGCAAAGAACCCAAGCAAGTCTATAATCGTTTGGCAGGTCTCCTTAAAATATGAGATTTAATGGGATAGTTTCTATTACATATCAAAAGATGATTTACCTTTTTTTCATAAAATACTTTCATTTCATAGACTTCTGATCTTATTACCCCTTAAACTCTTGATTTCCGTTTTTTAAGTGGCAGTTGATAAAAAAAGTTCTACTAACACAGAGATTTTAACGTGGATACAAAGTAACAATCCACCCCAGTATCGTGATGGAGAGTCACGCGCCATCCAAGTCATCCAAGTTCACAGCGAAACAAACTAAATATAACGGACTGTGTTAGTCACAGTATCTAGGACGCTGATAAGAGACGACGCAACTTACAAATACTGTCATGTAGATTACTGACTGGCCTCTCCCAGGTCAATTTCATTAATCTCCACAATGCGTGACGGTAGAGACAATGGAGAGAAAGCGTGCTCCGTGTTTTCTTATTACAGGTGAAAAGTTAATCACAGGTGCGAGTGTGCGCCCTCACAGACAGAATGACATTAGATGACACGGGCAAAACGGACCTGGGTCACATGACCGAAGTCACTCCCCCCTAGACTTGCTAGCAGTCTTCTTTGCGTGTATATATTGAGCTTAGACTATGTTGCTTTATAATCAGATGTTTTTAGCTTAAAGAGTGAGTGGTGTTTCACGCCATTTTAACAATAAATAGGACGGTGACAAAAATATATTTTAAAACTGAAAAGGTATTGAGTGAGGATTTATTTTAAAATGTCATTTTTAGGAGGTTTCAAATTTATAAGAATAAAGTTGATTCTAATGTAACACGTGGTCTCTTTTAGCCATGCCCTCTTTTGTTAGAAGTATGACGCGACGGATTCAGAAGCTATGATGGCCAAACCCACCTTCCACAGAGAATCTAATATTCTATGAGTAAGTGGGAATTTGGTTTAACGCCGCTTTTAACACTATTTCAGTTAGCTTAATGAGGGATTAAGCCAGAAGTGACGCAGGCTTCAGACGTTTACCACTTTGGTGAAACCGACGAGTGCGGGTATTGCGCTGACAACCTGGCAACATCTTCGGAGCGAACCGGGATTCGAACCCACAGTAATCTAGCGTGCCTAAGGGACGCAACTCTATATGGCAAGTTGCGGCGCCTTAGACAGCTGGGCCATCCGCGTTCCGACACACATGGTGTGTCCTAAACGTTAGAATCTGTTACAAAAATGAAATTTGGAATTCGAACCAACGATCTGCGAATCCCATCAGCTCAAGGGACGCAACTCTGTAGGACTGTGTTGTAACTTCGAGATATCGAAGCATGGACAGCCAGACAGCACTTATAACATTTTTATAGATCCATCGCAATACGATTGCATACACGAACAATTAAGAACTCAACGCGATAACGAATTGAAAATATAATGCCCAGTAACAAATACAAAAAAAGGATAAAAATGATGTGTTTATTCCCCAGTCAAGACAACTGGAGAATACTTGGTTTTAACTTAACCAAAACCAGTCTAGATGGTGAACTAAGTCTCGCCAGTGATATGAAACTATTTGTTTTTGAGACAGAGAAACGAATACAACCATACACCGTTTATTTGACCAAGAGTTTATTTTGCAATTAACACTGTGTATGTATACATGCGACACATCAAAGGAAGGTTACACAAAAAACATTCATTGCACAAACTGGTGGAGTGTAGCTGTCAAAAGCCGAGTGGCGCCGCCATGAGTTGTACTTATTTAGACAGAAACAACACTATCACCATAAAGCCCGTAGCAAGTCTAGTCGCAAGTCACAACGACCCCTGACCCTTAGCCTGCGACCTGTTATCAGCCTGTGTCTCTTATCACCTGTCGGCAGAACAGAACGACTGACAGTCAGTGCGGGAATATCACCACGGTGCACCGTTATACAAGCTAAATACCATCTCTGGATTCTCATTCAGTCGATATGGATTAACACAGGAATGAAATATACATGATATTTACATGAGTGTTATATACATGGATACCACACAGTGATAGAACATTGTCAGTTGTATATATCACCGGGCGATAACTACCGATATCGACATGGTTCTCCAGGAGGTGATAGAAAGGGGTCGACGGAGGAGGAGGGATCGAAGTGCAGTTCCGTTTGTTACAAAATATATTTTGTTCTTCTGGAATTTTGCCTGCGAGGTATGTACTTTTTTATATTTGAAATCTACATCTAATTAAAAACAAACACATACATAAGCTCTGTCGGTATTACGCGACAAAAGCTCTGTCGGGGTTACATGATAACACACATTTTAAATTCGTTAACATTTTGCCTTGTAATGTTTGGTGAGCATATCTTTGTAGTCAAGGTTCATCCGAGTGTAAGGTCAGAGGTTGGCCACGTTGTCGGATGTTGACAACTGGAGAGAAGACGTAGATTCCCGTTGTTGGTGCACAGATTAGCATAGGATGACGTAATTCGTGAAAGCTATTGTCATCGTTATTAATAATAATATTTTTATACTACCCATAAATCTCTAATGATACTATCATATTTATTACGCTGGGTCTTATCAGTGGCATTTAAAGGGAGATTAGACACTGTCCAAAATGGCATGGACAGCAATATCAAGTAAAGGAACGGGCAAAAGAAAGTACACATTTGAAAATTAGATTTGACCGATATTACGAAAATAATCAAAACTATATCGAAATCGAAACACTGCATTATAAATTTTTAAGATAAAAAAACACAACAGTGCTACCTGTATCATATAAATCACTGTCGAATAACCTTTTCTTTTTTGTTTCATTTTTAGCCAACATCAAACATGTGTGTGTACTTTCTTTTTTAATTCAGTTTATTCTATCACACCTTTCTGTTTGTGTATCAACTCAAATGTGGTGATATTTGTCAATCTAACAGATAATGATAATCCCGATCGCTCAGCGCATTGTATCAGTTCAGGGTATGTCTCTAATATCATGTGCTTATAACAACCGACTATTTAATGAAGGTTTCAATGCTATCAAGCACGAGTTTACCCGTCCCAGGTGGGTTATTATGTAAGAAGACTCGGTGGTATAACTGGACATGAGCCGGTAGGTATAACTGGACATGAGCCGGTAGGTATAACTGGACATGAGCCGGTAGGTATAACTGGACATGAGCCGGTAGGTATAAAACAACAATCACTCACACATGAAATCAGATCATGTGTGAATCCCAAATCTGGTGTCACCCGCCGTGATTTTGCTGGAATATTCTGCTAGGATTATCCTTGTAGATGTTTATAAACACCGAAAGTTTTAAATATTTCTTAATCAAAGACACTGTTTTACCATCTAAATAAATAGATAATGAATGCCAGGTGTTGATAAAGAGGAAGAAATATTCCTTCATGAGGAAATACATGAAAAGCTCCCGTATTGTTTATCGCGAGGTAAATATTGCATGTTCCGTGTGTGTCACGGTATGCACGGTAGCTGTCACCTGGCGTTTTATTATGTAAATGTCAATTTCACAGCTGGTTGAAGGAAAGGGTTTGACACCTGTTCCCGCTGACAGACAGACAGCCCATGTCATTTCCACATGACTAATCCTCGTCGCTGGGACTACACAATGCCTTTGCGATCAGTTGACACAATTTCATTGATTCAAACAAAAATCGATTGTGTAACAAATAAATAATTCCGTTTCTAGTGCGTATTGTATTTGTTACAAGGGAATACGGTGAATAGTAAGAGAATAAGGTGATTAAGTATACTTAGGATCTATCTGTGTGAAAAGCTTGAAGCGTTTTTTTTCTTCTCGAAATTCCCCTTAAAATAAAAACAAAACAAACTGTCTCTGACATGAACATATCTTACAGGCAAAAAAGTTAAATTATCTTAATAAAATATAATATAAGGGAGCCCAGATATTGCAGTAATCGAGACTTGCCACTTGTATAGACTTGCGTGGGTTATTTTGTGTATATTTGTTTCATGATCTTTGTAGGTATAATACATCGACTTATTTAATTATACATTCCAAATTATATTACATAGACGGTTAGTAGAGCTTCGGTTTTTGCGTTTTGAGATATTGGTATTTTTTTCACCTCGAACATTTTGTTGCTGGATTTGTAGTTGCATCCATAAAATCAGGAAAAGTATTTTACATCCTTTACTTGACAGCGGCCATCCCGACGAAAAAATACTCGCATTTTTATAGGCTAAAAGTAGATCAATGCAAAGGTTATATAGCGTTGACTGTGCGGATAACGGATTTCCATCTGACGTTGGTACTGTGTGTATATTTTCAAACTAATTCATCTGTCTATTAAAGGACTATGGCTTGTCGTATGAGACGACTAACGGGATCGGGTTGTCAGGCTCGCTGACTTGGTTGATGCATGTCATCGTATCTCAAATGCGTTGGTCGATGCTCATGCTGTCACTCACTGGATTATCAAGACACGATTATTTACAGACCGCCGCCGTATAGCTGGAAAATTGTTGAGCGCGGCGTTGAACAACAAACAAACAAAGTTACATGTAAGTTAGGTTCGCATTCCGCCTTAGCTGATAGGTCAGACCTTGGCTGTAGCCCTTCCGGGCATGCGCAGAAGTCGGATGTATAACGAGTTCACTGATATGAATATTTAGCGACGGTGTTCATTGGAGCAGAATCTGTTCACTCCTGTTACACGCCCGTCAGACGTTATCTAAGCTGTATCACGTCACAGTAGCATCCAGACACCACTAACTGTTTCGGGGAACAGGCCATTTTCTAAAAAACACCCGATGTCATGTGATCTGCGTGTCTCCTGGCTGTATCGTATGTTCATTATCATCCTCAGTCTGATCACCATACCCTATAGGAGAGGCTGCTCACACCATCGACCACTAGTTCGTTTGGAACAGGTGCTAGTATTGACAAGCTTACCACGATATAAAGGTTACAATGCTCACACTGGAATACAACAGAAAAAAATACGCAAGATAGTAGGGCGGTGGGTGATGGAGTATTAAGCGTTCTCTCGTCACGTCGTGGACTCTGATTCTCCACATGTAGACACTGTGGGACACTCGGCTTATTTTCTTACCTTCATACACCTCGGACGGAAGTTGAACGGCGGCGGAGTGATATTGCGTGACTACACTGCACACCTACCAATCCCTCCGCATGTAGGACGATTTTAAGAACAGATGTTATGAGTACATGTATACAATTTGGTATACACATACATCAGGGTCACGATTGCCTTCAAATCGAGTTGTTTAATGTGATAGTCACGTAAACTAGAGAAACTAGTGAATCGTGTTCCGGCATTATTTCCTTCCAGTGCTGTACCTGGTGACCTGTGTGATTGAGACGCGGTGAGGGCGGTACAAGGTCCGTTCTTGCTTCCCCCACCATCATACTATTGACAACAATGTGAAGCTACATAATGAAGACAACAGATAAAAAAAAATAACGTGTACACAATAACAATACAATTTCTTTAAGAATTAATAAAATAATGACACCCGAATCCCTCACAGTCGCCCAAGGCTGGTACATCACGGTCATACTAACCCTTGAACGAATATATAAGAATTGTTGTGAGTGAGTTGGATTTAACGCCGCTTTTAACATTATTCCAGTTATATCGCGGCGTGTCAGCTTAATGTGGGAGGAAAGCCCGAAGTGATGCAGGTCTCAGACGCTTACCACTTGAAATGAGCACGGGTATGGTGCTGACAAACCTAGAAACATAATCGGGGCGAACCGGGATTCGAACCCACAATCATAGGTTTCTGGCGTGCCCAACGGACGCGACTCTGCACAGCGAATCGCGGCGCCTTAGACGACTGGGCCACCCGTGCCCCCTAAAAGAATTGCAGGGTTCATGTCACAGTAACACATACGGAAAATATAATAATAATCAGCAAAAAACATGTGTCTTCGTGAAGAGAATGGACGCATACTCTCTAGAAAATATTTTTTTTATAGAAACAAGCAGCTGCATTAAAATTAATAAGGAGCCCTAGTGAGATGGGATAATCTGTGGGAAAAATAAACATGCTTCAGTTAGGGCAATAGCATTACAGTGACTTGACGTCAGGGAAAAACTATGGTTTAGGCGGTATGCATCTGGAGGCTTGTTGAGTGGTGGAGGAGTGCTATCACCAGTCGATGCACCGTTACGTCACTAGGCAAGCGGGTTGGCCTATGTGTGGGACGAGACAGGGATTAGCCGCTGCATCTGGGGCGCCTGGTTTACTAGACTGCATCCGCGGGTCACTTTGAACTAACGCCTGACATCACAGAAGGGGTGATGTATTAAATTAATATTCTGCGTCTAATGAATACCGTCATTGTGTAATATAATTGCTTATATTGCCGATAGATGCAAGAAATTGTTTTCATCAAATCATCTCTTAGAAGAACGTTATACTCATGGGTAAAATAAAGGAACGCTCCGGAAAAGCCCTTCGACCCTCGAGACCCCCTCCGTGGTCTTGTGGTAGAGCGTCCGTCCGGAGAGTGGAAGGTTCGGGGTTTGATCCCCGGCCGCGTCATACCAAAATAAGATGGTACTTGTTGTTACCCTGCCTGGCGCTCGGCATTAAGGGAATGAAACAACGACTGGTAGGTTAGAAGTCAGTATGCTGTGCCTGAGGGGTATTCATGTTAAACTGCGGCATTGCATCTCAGTGGGCTAGCACTATAAAATCGGCATTAGTACAGACAGACAGAGTCGTGTATAACTATAACCTGACAACAATCTGCCAACCTTCCACGAGGGAAATGGCTTCTTCAAGGCAGTCATAAGGCGATCGCAGTTTTCCAAATAGCTACACATTCAATAGATGAGTACTTCGTCACAAACACGAGTTACATTCCCACAGTTGCCGTCATTTATGCAGAGATTCTTTAGATGCACAGAAGTCGTTTAAAAGCATTTGCAAAAAATGGTTGTTATCACATCGTCTCATATTGTTTTGTTTGAATCGAACATGATTATCATTACAAGTACGAAAAACGGCATTTATTGTTTTTTGTCAAGCGGTAATGAAAGTATACATCCGTGTTTGATGGTGGCTGAAAATAAAACAAGAAATGGTTATTCGAAGGTGATGTATTTTGAAACGGACATCACAGCTGTGTTTTGGAACTTCGGGTTTGCAGTGTTTCGGCGAATGTTTTCTGTCTAGTTTCGGTAACATGT